ATCCATGTCACTTACGGTATACGTACCAAAACCAAATCAGTAATTTTTGTCACTTGTGGTATACGGACCATTGCCAAATCAGTAATCTAAGTCACTTACGGTAAAGGTACCGTTACCAAATCAGTGATATATGTCACTTGTGGTATGCAACCATTACAAAATCAGTAATATATGTCACTTGTGGTACACAAACCATTACCAAATCAATAATTTTTGTCAATTGTGGTATACGGACCATTACCAAATCAGTAATCTATGTCACTTACGGTAAATGTACCATTACCAAATCAGTGATATATGTCACTTGTGGTATACGAACCATTACCAAATCAGTAATCTATGTCACTTACGGTATACGTACCATTACCAAATCAGGAATCTATGTCACTGACGGTATACTTACCATTACCAAATCAGTAATCTATGTCACTTGTGGTATACGAATTATAACCAAATCAGTAATCTATGTCACTCACGGTATAGGTACAATTACCAAATCAGCAATCTATGTCACTTGTGGTATAAGAACCATTACCAAATAAGAAATCTAACTCACTTAAGGTATACGTACCATTACCAAATCAGTAATCTTTGTCACTTACGGTATATGTACCATTACCAAATCAGTAATCTATGTCACTTACGGTATAGGTAACATTACCTAATCAGTAATCTATGTCACTTGTGGTATACAAATCATTACCAAATCAGTAATCTAAGTCATTTACGGTATAGGTACCATTACCAAATCAGTAATCTATGTCACTTACGGTATAGGTACCATTACTAAATCAGTAATCTATGTCACTTGTGGTATACGAACCATTACCAAATCAGTCATCTATGTTACTTATGGTATACGTACCATTACCAAATCAGTAATATATGTCACTTGCGGAATACGAACCATTACCAAATCAATAATCTGTCTCTTATGGTAAACGAACTATTACCAAATCAGTTATCTATGTCACTTACGGTATAAATATCATTACCAAATCAGTAATCTATGTCATTTGCGAAATACGAACAATTATCAAATCAGTATTCTATGTCTCTTATGGTAAAGCTAACCTTGTGTATTATGATTATGTACAGTGATAAAGTGGTTCACCTGTACCCATGAAATCCACGAAAATTAATAAATACACAGTATGTACAGTAATACAGTGGTGACCTGAGGTAACCTGATCATAAATAGTTATGCAATGGTGACCTGAGGTAACCTGAAAATATATGTGTTTTTGTAAAGCTGATCTTGGGTAACATGACTATGTACAGTAATACAGTGGTGACCTGAGGTAACCTGATCATGAATATTAATGCAATGGCGACCTGAGGTAACCTGAAAATATATGTCACTTACGGTATACGTACCAAAACCAAATCAGTAATCTATGGCACTTATGGTATACGTACCATTACCAAATCAGTAATCCATGTCACTTACGGTATACGTACCAAAACCAAATCAGTAATTTTTGTCACTTGTGGTATACGGACCATTGCCAAATCAGTAATCTAAGTCACTTACGGTAAAGGTACCGTTACCAAATCAGTGATATATGTCACTTGTGGTATGCAACCATTACAAAATCAGTAATATATGTCACTTGTGGTACACAAACCATTACCAAATCAATAATTTTTGTCAATTGTGGTATACGGACCATTACCAAATCAGTAATCTATGTCACTTACGGTAAATGTACCATTACCAAATCAGTGATATATGTCACTTGTGGTATACGAACCATTACCAAATCAGTAATCTATGTCACTTACGGTATACGTACCATTACCAAATCAGGAATCTATGTCACTGACGGTATACTTACCATTACCAAATCAGTAATCTATGTCACTTGTGGTATACGAATTATAACCAAATCAGTAATCTATGTCACTCACGGTATAGGTACAATTACCAAATCAGCAATCTATGTCACTTGTGGTATACGAACCATTACCAAATAAGAAATCTAACTCACTTAAGGTATACGTACCATTACCAAATCAGTAATCTTTGTCACTTACGGTATATGTACCATTACCAAATCAGTAATCTATGTCACTTACGGTATAGGTAACATTACCTAATCAGTAATCTATGTCACTTGTGGTATACAAATCATTACCAAATCAGTAATCTAAGTCATTTACGGTATAGGTACCATTACCAAATCAGTAATCTATGTCACTTACGGTATAGGTACCATTACTAAATCAGTAATCTATGTCACTTGTGGTATACGAACCATTACCAAATCAGTCATCTATGTTACTTATGGTATACGTACCATTACCAAATCAGTAATATATGTCACTTGCGGAATACGAACCATTACCAAATCAATAATCTGTCTCTTATGGTAAACGAACTATTACCAAATCAGTTATCTATGTCACTTACGGTATAAATATCATTACCAAATCAGTAATCTATGTCATTTGCGAAATACGAACAATTACCAAATCAGTATTCTATGTCTCTTATGGTAAAGCTAACCTTGTGTATTATGATTATGTACAGTGATAAAGTGGTTCACCTGTACCCACGAAATCCACGAAAATTAATAAATACACAGTATGTACAGTAATACAGTGGTGACCTGAGGTAACCTGATCATAAATAGTTATGCAATGGTGACCTGAGGTAACCTGAAAATATATGTGTTTTTGTAAAGCTGATCTTGGGTAACATGACTATGTACAGTAATACAATGGTGACCTGAGGTAACCTGGAAATGTTTGTGTTTTGTAAAGCTGACCTAGGAAACATGACCATGTACAGTATTGTAGTGGTGACGTGAGGTAACCTGACCATGTACAGTAATGCAGAGGTAACCTGAAAATATCAGTGTTTTGTAAAGCTGACCTGGGGTAACATGACCATGTAAGTATTGTAGAAGTGACCTGAGGTAACCTGACCATGTACAGTAATACAGAGGTGACCCGAGGTAACCTGACCATGTTCAGTCATACAGAGGTGACCTGGGGTAACCTGAAAATATTTGTGTTTTGTAAAGCTGATTTAGGTTAACATGACCATGTACAATACTGTAGTGGTGACCTGAGGTAACATGACCATATACAGTAATACAGTGGTACCTGAGGTAACCTGAAAATATTAGTGTTTTGTAAAGCTGACCGGGGGTATCATGACCATGTACAGTAATACGGGGGTGACCTTAGGTAACCTGACCATGTTTAGTCATACAGAGGTGACCTGATGTAACCTGACCATGTACAGTAATACATATGTGACTTGAGGTTAGCTGGAAATAACTATGCTTTGTAAAGCTGACCTAGGGTAACCTGACAATGTATGGTATTGCAGTAGTGACCTGGGGTAACCTGAATATATATAGTGTATTCAGATTACCAAATGTCACCTTAGCAAAACAAATATATATTCAGGTTATCCCAGGTCATCACTGCAATACCATACATGGTCAGGTTACCCCAGGTCACCACTGCTTTATCTGTACATAGTCATGTTACCCCAAGGCAGCTTTACAAAACACGAATATTTTCAGGTTACCTCAGGTCACCCATAGGCGGATCCAGGGGGGGGGATGGGTGTCCGCCACCCCCCCCCCCCTTTTCGTGGGAAAAATTGGTTGATTATATAGGGAATCACTGAAGCATGACTGTAACGGGCCTCTTATGGCGACAGTGGGCCCCCAACCTTATAAAAAGTTCTGGATCCGCCACTGTCACCACTCTTTTACTGTACATGGTCAGGTTACCTCAGGTCACCACTGCATTACCTTAACGGTCAGGTCATTTAAACCATTTTATTTTCCCCGAAAATCAGATTTAGTGGTAGTGATAACATAAACGGTCCTTTCACGTAGTTTCAACTTTCACACATTTTCTTACAAGATACTAGTATATTACCAAAAATATTTGCCAATACAACATACCACACCTATTACCAACCCCAGACTCCTTCGAAAAAAAATGAACACAAGGAAATCAACAGTTTATCGATAAAAATTCACTGCTTTATATTGTTTTATTAGAAATATATCAATGAATGAGTAACAAGAGACATATAACTTCTTTCCATTTAGCTTTTTCTACTTTCTTGTGAATCCAAAAAGCTACAAAATGATTTATTAACATTTACCCTTAAATGAAATTTACAAAGAAAGTGCTTGGCGACTATATCATCAGAAAGCCTGACAATGGACCTTAAAATTTAGTCAAATCTTTTAAGGCAAAGTTTAACAGTAAAACAGTTTTATATTCTTTGATTAATATGTGTAGTTTTTTAAGTTTTTTTACATTGAAAATAGTTGCATAACGATATATTTAATAAGATGTAGAAAGTAAAGTTGTTGAACCCTACTGGAATTTGAAAATCAAAAGTCTATAAATATTAATTTTGAATCAGAATTGAGCGTAAATCACTAGGTACGAGTGTCTGAGTTTACCTGTTTATCGGTCTTCCAACTTTATAAACTATTATTTTCATTTAACCTCAAAACAACTATGAAAGACAGTAACCATCAAGAACCATTGAAGTACAGGCTTCTGACTTGGGACAGGCACATAAAGAAAAAGGTCCGGTTAAACATGTTTTGCGAGCGATTAACCATTCACACAACCTCGGATAGTTGTGTACCAACACAACATAAAAACAAACAGTAAAAATCAGACCAAAAGGTCTTGAGTCATCAGATTGGCACAATGCGCAATCAACTAACAAATATAGACAAAACACAAGGTCCCGATCAAAGAGTACTAGCAGTTATTGAAAGCTAGTTCAAAGCCAATTTCAAATAATAATTAACCTTACTTTCTTTCGTTCCCAGACTAAAATATCATTCAGTACTTATTCAACGGATTTAGTGTAAAAACATCTTAAACAGTTGGAGTCTAAGCATATCTAATGTACATTTGGATCTGGCCAACGTTTTGACACTTGACCCTATGTGGTCAACATTTTACAGGAATGTATGATGTTCTGTAATGGTTTGTGAATATATTTCAATATTTAAGTTATACTAAGGTTGATAAGCGCAATGCCTACGACTTCGATCAATCATGCGTTTAGTGTTACGCAAAACAGCAGGTAAATCACAGATTACAATAAGCGATAAAGGTATGATGAGTAGTATTAATCCTGAGATTCCAATAGCACGGGACGACGGCCGACTGTCTGACGCACTTGTCAATTTTCTTATGGCCGAGTTTGTTGTCTTTTTGTCCACTGTTAGTTCCTTCGACATACTTGCAATGGCGTCCAGTAACAATGGGTCATTTGGGGACAGATAAGAATTAGTACCGTTTCTACAGGAATCCGCGCATTGCGAATGATATATAGTTGACGTGAAATTATATGTATCGGTTACGTTAAACACGTTTGTCACGTTGTATGTTGCAGTGACATTAATGGTAGAAGTAACCGTAAGTAAATTACCTAAAATATCAGTCACTGGTAAGGTAAAAGGTATTACTGAAATACTTGATACTATCACAGTTTCGATTACAGTTTCAGTTACATTAAAAGTTTCGGTTACGTTTATTACGTTCAACAAATCAACTGATGCTGTAACTTGCACTGTTTCGGTTTCATCAACAGTAATAACTTGTGTTGTGTTGTATATGTTCGTAACATTTAATGTTTCATACACATAACATGGTGTTGGAGAAATGTCCGTCACTGTGCTAAATTCTGAAACCTCTGTTACAACTGGTACAGTCACTCCTAGAATAAAATATATATGAACATATATAATTTGGATAGCAGAACGACTAATAATAAAGCTTATTTGAAATTCATTTTGAACAATTATAGTACGCACTATAAGGAAACTTACACAGGTCCTATAATTTTATCGTACGATTGTTTTTGTGTCATATTGAAATTGCGTTTCCTATCAAGATTTCCTTGATAGATTTCTGCTGCTTACAAGGAAGCTATTAAACCAAGAGTTCCAAGTGGTGAAATTGAAATCCTCCCTTTGAAAATTTTACGGACGCCATCACGAGTTGGTTGGCCGATATGGAATATCTGCATGTTTCACAGATGCCGGCGGATATATTCCAATCGTCGTAACCACAATCCCGTCCTCATTTTACCCTAATGTTACATAAAATTCCAAAATATTAGGTTTAAATGATAGATGCATACCTGTTTGTTGTACAGCCGAACAATTGAGCAAAGGCTGAACATCTTTGTTTTCATTTTGTAGCGTTGGGACGTCACCGTTTTGTACAACCGCAACTAAAATATAATCAAACACGTGTCTTAATTTCCAGCTGTTGAAGCACAAAATATACACACTTTTCATGCATATATATATATATATATATATATATATATAAACGCATAAAAAGTGTACACAACAACACCAATTACAAAAAAAGGAACTATAAATGTAATTATTTAAAAATATTTCTGATAACAGATATCCTTCATCAGTAAATATGATTGTGATGTTGAATGAATCATATATATATATAAACAAGTCTAAATTGAAAACAATATATATATTTATACATAAATAAAATCAAAATTTGTAAAAATGCCAATATTTGATATTCTGAATTACATTATTAGATTTTACAAATTTTAACGATAACGTCCATTATCCTACCGGTTTTACATTCGATCGAAGGTGAAACCGTTGGATAATGGACGTTATCGTTTTATTTGTAAAATTTAATTATGTAATTCAGAATATCAAATATCGGCATTACAAATTTTGATTTTTTTTTATTTACCTTTGGCGTAAGTTAATGAACATATATATATATATATATATATATATATATATATATATATATATATATATATATATATATTCAAACAAAGAAGTCCTCTGAAACTGACATCATCAAGATGCTTGATTTTATTTGAAATATTTGTTTCATGTGCAGGGCGCATTTATTTTCAACAAAAAACGGCAACTCTATAGGAACCAAATGTGCTCCTACCGACTTATTCCTTTATATTTATGAGGCTGATTACATACAGGAGTTTCTCCTCACAAAAGACGAAAAGAAGTTGGACTTAGTCTTTAACTTCACGTTCCGCTATAAACATGATGTCCTGTCACTGAATTATTCAACGTATGCTGACTATGTTTAATGAATCTATCCGCCATCAAATTTGAAAATAAGAGTTCTAAACGGTGAATGTGTGGTTATCCTTTTGAAAGTTATACGGATGTCATCATGCTTTGGATAACCGTTATGAAATAGCTCTCACATTTGTTTTACTTATTGTGACCACAATCCCGTCCTCTTTACCTCGATTGTGACATTGCTAGTCATGCGGCGATGTATTATCTATTTGTTTACCTGGTAGAAAGTCACCCGCTTGTGCGAATATGCAGGACACTTTAAATAGACAATTAACAAAACAGCCAAGTAATTCTTTATTTTGATTTAAACTAATTTATCAGTATATAAAAAAAATCTTGTCAATCAAACAACCATCGATAGCGTAAAGCAAAGACCATTGATAAATTATACCATGGAAATCAAATTTTCCCCCAGTCTATAATATTTGTAAAAAAAGGTCTATGCAAATGGAAAAAACACACCAACGCAGTTGTCAGCACTTCTGTGTTGACATAAATTATCATTGATATGATCATAATTATAGATGAGCTGTTTATAAAACATTGAATTTTTATGAAGATACCAAGAACTTGTTGATAAATATTCTGCACCAACTTAACAAATAATACATGATGGTCTTGAAGTATAAATACTAGGTACTGACGTTGTTTATCATCTTAATTGTTATAGTGTTCTTTTATTTGTCGTTGTATATTTTTAATCTTTACTGTTTAGTCCATTTTTTGTAATATATTTTAGCGTGGCTCGGTATTTATACATTCCGCTAATGTGTTATTGTGCTATTGTCATCTTTTTTGTATTCTTGTCTTTCATTTTTGCTTCTGTGCTTTGTCTATAGAATGTCTGTTTGCCATATTGATTTTCTTTGTTGACATAGCTGTTTGTTTTTATAGTGATTATGATTATAACACAATGTTTACTGCTGTACCCCAATTTTTGACAATTTTAACTATTATATCTGTTTGTTTTTTGTTCGCACATTGTTGTCAATATAATGGAATTCTATGAGACTGTTATACAAGAGAGAGGTTTAGCTAGATATAAAACCAGGTTTAATCCACCATTTTCTACATATCAAAGGAAATGCCTGTACCTAGTCAGGAATATGAAAGTTTTGTTTTATGTTTTTGATCTTGCCATTTGGTAAGGGAATTTTCGTTTTGAATTTTCCTTGGAGTTCGGTATTTTTGTTATTTTACTTTTTATGACGTCCCAATGTCATCATTACTGATGTTATACGTCATTGGATTTTAGTGTCAAAATGTCCTTACATGAACTTTGACGTTACTAACTTACCTTGCACGCATGATTTTTTGAACATGGTGACATCTGATAGTGATTCTGAACCTGTTCGTGATTGAAGTAAAATGCAAAGTCCTCCGTCTGTAGAGATCCCTGACCAACACGATGAACTTGCAGCACAGCTGCTCTCACATTCACTTGTAGTCTGGTTGGCATATGTTGCTACCTTATTGGAACTAAGAATGGTTGGGTAAGCACATGCCCCTAAATAAAGAATCATAACCTTAAGCAACAGTATGTTACTGATGATCAGATATCGTAAATTGATTAAGAAAACACAAATCAAGTTAACAAACACAAACTGAGTGAATCGTACGAACTCCAAACGAAGCGTAACCGAGTGTGTCAACAGGTTAAGTGTATCTCGCTATGCATGCATCACTCGCCAAGCGAATTTACATAACATATATCTATTCAGTTTTATAATTTTTGAATGCTACACTAAATGAAGAGAACCAAGTTCTTTAATATAATGGTTCGAATTTCATGTTGGAGTGGAGGAAGATCTTGGTTTTATCATCTCTGAAATATGTATATTATGTCTTTGATTGTTAAATATTTTGGCCTCGTGCATCACTAGAAAGGAATTTATATCCGAAATGCGCATCTGGTGCAGTAAAAGGGGTACCGTTAATGTTTTTGTTATACTTATTTTTCCTACATATAATGCCTTAGTGCGGAACAAATATCTCTTATTGAACTGTCTTTCTGTAACTGAAAGTAATTTTTGAATTCGACATTGTTTAGGAGATAACGAAGTATTCTTTACAAAGGAAAAATCAATATTTTTAAGAATTCATAGTAGAGAGTCAATCATAATAGAGTTAATTTTGTACGCGCGTTTTTCTCTCATAAGAAACATCAGTGACGATCGAACGTAACAGGTGAAAGATTTAATCGTGTATGAAGCTAAAGAGTTAAAATCAAGATTCTACATTTATCTTTATCTGCTATATATATTTAGAATTGACTAGTTTTTGTCGTGATACAACCAATTGTAAAGATAAAAGAAAGAAGACATATGAGCAGACTATTTCAGTACCAAATCATATACCTGGTATTTTCTTTTCACACGCAAAGTAATAATGATCCTCACACTTTCTTCTTTCCCATTGTACAGGGTCTTTCTTTACACGATAACACAGTTCATCACTCTTGTAACTTTCAACTTTTCGCATATCAAAATTCATTTCTGTACAGTCCTCCCAGATAAACAACCCTTCATTTGGTTGTGATAATCCTGACCAGAAATCTTTATCCCTAAAAAACAAAAGAGATATGTAAGTTGTCAAAAACATGAACATTCCTTCGATGGCAATTTCGTAAAACATTTAGTTGGAATAAACGAGACAGAAATCCACACCTTGTAACATGAGCTTTTGAATTACGGTTGTAGTGGTTCCCCATAATATGTATGCTATTTACACTGAACTTATGTTAAATGAGAATAGTTCTTTAAAATTCAAACTTAATCTTATGTTTGTAGATGGAATTTATGATAGAGTACTAATAATAAAAGTCATTATCTGCATGTTATAATTTTGGAATAGCTGATTTTCACTTGATTAAACATTCATGAAGAGAAACGGACACCGACCTCCCGTCATCGTTTCCGCGGATTAAACGCTCTAGGCAAAATATAACTCATCGACGTGTTTAAACATGATTAAATCCAGGATGTCACTATTGGAGCAGGATATGCTAATACTTCCCGAAAACCTTAGGGCACCCCCGATTTTTGGTGGGATATTAGTTGCTCAATCTTTAAGTTTTTTTAAAAATATTTTGTTAACTGTCAATTGTCTATTTCGTTTGGCTATTGTATTTTTATCGACTATCTGACAGATAGAGGTCAATTTGTCGACAAAAAAAGTACCCGTATGTAAAATGTTTACGCCCACAAACAGCGCCACCTATAATTTTTTCTACGGCGTCTTTGAGAACGATGTTCCGTTCTGTAGTAAATTAAAACATTAAATTAACTAAAACATAGAAAAGTAAGTGTATAAAACTAATTAAAAGATATATTTGCACATGACTGGTTATGCATGATACGCTGGCAATGTGCGCAATGTCCTTTAATCCAAGATTCAAAATTAGTTTGTTTCCTATGTCAAAATGGCGGATTCCAATGTTTACATTTTTCCATCGATTTGAGAGCTGACACAAATTCGTATCCAATCATTAATTTGCATATTATGTACTGTGTAGGGTAGCTTATCCAATGGGATTTACTGTTATAAAGTGGCTATACGTTACCATCCATCGTTACAAAAGTGCCATGTGTTTTGTGTGTATACCTCAGGAATGATGTGTATTCAATATTTACGGTAAATAATCAATGTTATGTTCATTATATTTCCATGCATACACAAGTCATAACAGCAAATGCATTTTTTATAGAACTTATTAGGTAAACAGACAATGTTTGACTGTCTGCTTTAGCAAAAATTCGTGTAAATAAACCCGATGGGTCGTTTTGAATATTCAAGCACAGCAGACAAACACGTGGTAGATTATTGATGTTTGTTTACCTAAATTGCACGCTGTTGTTACTAAATACTTAGAAATAACCATTATCGTGTTATTATTGTTTAACAGCAGATAAAATTAATTTTACAATTGCATTTAACTACTTTCAAGAGTCATATAATACACCTTGCCTAAGAAATAGGTCTAGCTAGGTCCAGGGACCTCCTTTACTAGGTCCTTAAAAAAAGAGGCTGTAATAATGTACATGATGTAAATTACCATATTTACATTCCAGCATTTTTTTGCATTTGATTTATTTCATATACATGTACATGTATGTAAATAGAGAACAATAGAGTAAATGAATACATGGGTTTAATTCCCACCCTAGGTATTAATTTTAATACTCATTAGAGGTTTGAGCAAATAGGGCAGATTGCAATTGACCATAATGTAGTGTCTAAAAATGCTGATTGATGTGGCCAAGTCCTCAACATCCTTTTTTCTAAGTATACAGCAGCTCCTTTAAGGATTAGTAAGGAAACACTTTACATATAGTCCAGTGGCTAAGTCCTGTCTTTTTTGTCTCTATTATTTCCTTATTTATATTATTATATTTCTTATATTCTCTTGTACATGTAGTAAGCTAAAAAGCTATCATTACTCTTTTTCCTCATCTGCCTGATAACAATGAAATGTATTCATTGTTGATGTCTGTAAAGTGACTTATAATTTAACTGCTAACAGACATTTGGACTCTGGTGGATAGTTTCTATACTGTTATCTCATTGGCAATCATACCACATCTCTTTATTTTAGTACAGGTTAAGTATTTAAAGTAAGTTACTAACAAACATTAAATCATTTGAAAGAAAAATTCTGTAATGATTTCAGTTTACATATATCAACAATAAAATTTGGTTGTATAAATTGTGTCATTATGTTTATAATGACCACTGTAATTGTGAACTGCCATGACTGTCTTGTACAAAATATATTTGAATAAGTTCCCTAATGAATAGTATATAGATGTTTAAAAAAAACAAATGTATGTACTAGTTCCAGATCTATCAATTCAAAAATAATTGATGTTTTTTTTAATTAATTGAATAATAACAATGTATTTCAACCACATTTAGGCCTAGGAACCTTAATTTTGTAAGTGTAGAGGTTGACAAGCTAAGTCATGACTGTAAATTCAGATATTATCATGAGGTTTTTATTAAAGTAAATAATGCAATTAAATTGATTATTTCAATAAAAAGAACTCTCATTCTGATTTGATACTATGAGATTTTTTCTGATATCAGAAAAATAAATATCTCATTGTTGTCCATTCTTCAAAAAATTTCTGAACATACTGTACATGTATTTAAGTCAGTTTTGTTTTTGTCTGAGACTATTATAACATGGGAAGTGACCAATCTCTATGTTAATTGTTATAGTAGTCTCAGGTTTTTCTTTGTAGTTCAATTGACTATGCATTTTAGAGCAGTTAAATATGAATTTGGATTAAATTTGAAGTTGATTCAGTATATTTTATGACATAATAACACTCTTTATTTAAACAAAGCATTTTCAGACTTTATTTACAGACCAGCTTAGCTAATCATTCATTATTCAATCAATAAGTTAATTAAAGGACTCAACAGTTGTTTGTAGGACTTATGAATTCAAATATAAGGAAAAAAAATCAAAACTTGAAGTAATACATGTAATAGGAATTATGAGAACTGCATGATATCAGATTGCAATACAGCTTTTTGTTCAGTTATCTTTGTGTTGATTATAATGTTTTAAATCCCTTTCTGGCTTTTTGGATGTTCAGATTTTTACTCTTGATTAAGAGCGAGCAACGGAACTTGTACATCTTATATAGTTTCTTATCTCGGGGGTGGATCAAGCCAATTTTCAAAGAGGAGGGGGGCATGTATTGTCTACATTTTCTTTTTTTCCATATTGTATTTTAATGTAATGCAAAGTTAAATTCTATTGTAACACAAGTTCTGCTGACAAATGGCTGATAAACCCCTCTTGTATGTAATTATTTAGCATGAAATGAAATATGTTTTTTCTGTATATGGAAATTAGGAATAATCCACCCTCTCTGGATCTGCTTAAAAGTTCTTGCTTTTCTCAGAATTTTCCATTGTTACATCAGGAATAAAGGCTACCAATAATCATGCTTGACGATCATTGAGGTCACACATAAAGAACCCATCTCTTTGCAGATCATAGTAGAAAAACAAAGATACAATGTAGTTGGTAACATAAATGTATTTAAAAATATCAAGAGAAACATTCCCATACAGAATCTCTGTCAATAAGTTATTTCTCCACTCTTAACAGTGAAATCTTAAATATGTAAATTGATCGGCAAGCCTCGCATCTTGAAAAATAAAATGTCTGTATGAAAGAACTATTGTTTCACAATTGATGCTGTGTTAGCATTTATAATATCACTCTTTTTTCCCCATATGATCAGCATAAAAAGTGACAAGTTCTTCAGTCTAAATAACTTTGTTAAATCTCATTTCTGATGGAACATTTTCAGTGCACCAGATTAACAACTTTCTATGTTAGATACTTATTTAAATATAAAAATTCAAGTCTAATTTTAGAGTGAAATTTTAATATATTTAAACAAACTGTTCTAAACAATCAACATGTACAAACACTGAGTTTATTTTCATATCCTTTCTAAGAATATTGATACAAAGAAAGTAAAACAAAGACTTGTATCATTCCATCTACCAAACGGGTGTTTGAGAATATACAAATAAGTCCAAGTTTCAGAGAAAAGTCAGTTATCTATAATTTTCTTCTTTGGAAGTTTTCAAAAACCTGTTTTAGGGTACTTGAAAAAATGCCATATTCAAACATTCCATGACTATTTTAATGTTACAAGAGTAGAGGAACATTAAATATTGAATGGTTATTCAAGAAAGTGTCGAAATATAACTACAATCATTAATTTTACTCGAATTTACTGTTGTGAACTTGCAGTTTCCTACGACGCGTGTACGGAGTTATCTCCCGTTGATCTCCGCTTCGCCACGAATAAGCTGACACAATTGCGTATCCGGGGAATTTATGATCTATAATTAATATATAAGATCCAGAAAATGGTTTTACTTCATATTTTATACCCCTCCATACGTTACCAAACCCATTTAAGAAATGATTTGGGATTTTAGACCTACGCAAATTTTCCAAAAAAAATTTCAACTTCCATCGTTGTTTTAGAATCTTTTTATAACACCTTTCATAAATAAGTATATATAATAATGAAGCTTACTCACTCAAGATTTGGACCCTACAAGTTTTATTTATTTACGAGTTACAATTAGACGATACGAGGTAAAAAACCAAGAGGTGTACACGTTCACAAGAAAACGGTAAACTCTGACCTTTTATCACGTGACCAATGTCTTGAACTTAGACGCCATTAAATCGTTTGCCGTTCAACTGCACTAGCTAAAATGACAGAATACATAAATATATCAAAAGCAATAATCCATTTGATAAATTGACCCGGATGTACTTTAATACGTGACGTTGCTGCACTGATACATAACGCGATGTCCCTAATATTGTCAAGTATCAAGTTCTGGGCATGGTCTAAAAAATATTAGTCAGTAAGATCAAAGGGAAAATGTACAAATTGCCAATAACTATTTATATCATCTCATTGAAATACAGTAAAAACCCGGTAAAGAAGTTAATATTTTATTGATGTAGAGTATTAATATGGGAAAAGTGCTTTCATTGATATGAAATTTAGAGAAAATAAGAATATAAAAATCCTTTAATTTATTCTATAAATTTTAATTTGTTATTAGTTCAATTCTGGAAATTTGTCATTGCTAAAATATATCAAATTTGTGGAAAAATTTGTTGCGTTATTCTATCAAAATGGACCTTTGAAACAATGTTTTTTTATAATTGCAATTCAGATACTGATATTGAAATATCATATATTGAATTTCGAATTATCTTCCTGGGTTTGTTATAGAAAAAAAAGTTAAGTCAACTACTTTAATGTAAATGGACTATTTCATGTTGATAAAAATCACATCCATCCATCAAAGGTTCTAATTGTAATGCCACAATATTGCCAAAAACTATTTTCCTTGATACATGCATTAATTCTGGAAAAAAAATCTCATTTCAATTGATACAACTGTTATAAAGTAAAACATGAAACGGTGATTCATATAAAACTTTGCAATTAAATGAAATAGTCAAAGATTGGTGCTTATGTTTAAATTATCACAATCAAATATTGTTTATACTTAATATTTCAATACAATGTACATGCGGAAATCACTGATGTAAATTTTTTGGATAGCTTTTATCAATTCTCAATTGATATGGCAATTATATTCATAAGAACATAAATCAAAGGCAAAATGATATTTTCATCTAGATACAAGAGGAAAAAGGAAGTATTAAGATATATGAAAGAAAACTTGAAAAGGTAAAAAATAAATCTTTAGAAGCGTTTTTGTGCAATATATTAGAATATAATGTCTTGAGAGTATTAAAACATATTCGATCGATTTGTTGACTACTACAAACTTAGCTGTTTATGAAAATAATTGTGAAAACAATCCAAGAAATAAAACACAACGTTAAACAAAAAGAGTTGTATATATATATATATATACAAGCAGTTCTTTCATCAGCTCCGTTACTAGACAAAATTATACCATCTACTCAAATTCCAACTGTAAAACGGAGAACTCAATTTATATATTAACATGTGACACATGTGACATTCAGTATGTGGGAGAAACAATGGACAAATTTAATATTCGGCTCAATAACCATCGTTCATGGTACAAAACAAACAAAAACTGTCCTCTCACAAGACATCTTCGTTCAACGAAACATTCTTTTGATAATGTTACCTTCCAAATCATAGAAGTCAACACCGAGTGGGACACCACGGCGAGAAGGAGAAGAGAAAATTTTTGGATCCACCAACTCCACACTTTAGAACCTGATGGTCTTAACGAAAAAGATGAGAAAAGATACAGGAAAGATAAAGAATAATTTAGTACACAGCATCGTCCTTTTTATCCTGTAATATTGGCCAATGGACGTTGCTAACTTCAACTACCAATTTTGTAAAAATCTTGAACTTCATCCAAATTATGTATTATTTTCAAGGCAGCTAAATTCAAGTGCAACATATACATTGAGCTGCAAAAGTTTCTTATCATCTACATCCGATTTCACCTGGATAGATGCACGCTTGATAAAGCTAGTTAGTCTAGCGAAATATTGCGTTTATTTTCATCATTTTGTAAATATTTTAAACATTCTTATATTTACATACTAAATAGTGTGTTAAAATTACATTGTTAGGCAATCTATATATATATATTTATATATATAATTTTTCATACCGTACAATGTAAAGTATTCAACTGGATTTGACATAGATTTAAACAGTAGGGTATGATTCAATATACACATAGCAAGAAAGACATATCACCTCAACTCCAGATAATTTTTTTTTCAATCCACAACGTATATGCTGTTTCCCCTCTTTAATCAGTAAAAGAGAGGCGAAAGATACCAAAGGGACATTAAACGCATAAGTCGAAAATAAACTAACAACATTATGGCTAAAAAAGTAAAAGACAAACAGACAAACAACAGTATACAACACACAACATAGAAAAATAAAGACTGAGCAACACGAACCCCACCAAAAACTTGGGGTGATCTCGGGTGCTCCGGAAGGGTAAGCAGATCCTACTCCTTATGTGACACCCATCACGTTGCTCATATAATTCTGATAAGTTTGATTCAGTAGGTCACATTCAGGAGAAAAGGGGACGGTATTGTAGTTACGACAATTGGAACATATCCGTCGTCATCTGTGAAACAGATATTCAAAACGCTCAACCAACTCGTGATTGCGTCCGTAAAATTTACGAAGGGATAATTTCAACTTCACCACTTAGAACTTTTGGTTTAATAGCTTCCTTGTGAGCAGCAACCCTCTATCTAGTTTTGTAGATGGTATATCAAAATACACAGAGTACTTATATAAACGCAAAATGTATAATTTTTCCAATTCGGAAATTCTACGAGATAAATGATATAGATGTAATACACAAATTTTCAAGTTTCTGATTTATGATTGAAATTGAGTCATCGATCTCTACTTTCATTCTTTAAATTCCAGCCTAATTCCAGACATATTTAAAATGAAGAAAAAACAATTCTCCTATAAATTAAGTTCAACGAATTTTTATTTTCAATAAAGGATATGGGGTTTCCATCCATGACACAAAATCAATCACAGCAAAAAACTCAAAAAGCAAAGGAATACAGCTTTTATTGAGGTTCTTCATCTCAAAGTCACAATGAGGGATGCAACACGGAGCAAACACTCTCACTTCACTGCAAGTTTAAGACGGCCTCTAGCACCGGTTTGAGTACGATATAACTTTTTAAAACATAAAAGCATATACACCTCATGCACGGGAAACATTTTAACGTCCTCCACCTAGCACGAGAGACAAATTCTGTTATTAATAACCTATTATGTTGCCCCTCAAATTTATAAATTTTTATAAATCTATCAATTCCGAATTCAATGGTCGAATAGTGGTTTTATGATACCTGCTCTCCTTTATAAGCCAAATAATACACAAAATTGACAGTTTGTTAATACCGATAACAACTACTTCCAATTCGTCATAACTTTTTAAGGAATTTGGTTTTCCAAAAAGTTTTGAAAAATTACAATTATCTCCTAGACAATAGTCTTACTTCCATACATGACACTTTATTTGAGCATTTTTCGAAATTACTGTTTAACCTACTTATGTATTTATAAAACGGAATAATTAAGTAGAATGGAAACAGGAATATTCTTTGAGTAAGACACATGTCTGATTACTATCAGAACACGTACATGTTCCTAAAATAAGGAAGATATGAAGAGTTGTACAACCAGTTTAATTCTAGTTACACGAGGAAAAAGTGACCTTTCACACTCCCTATTCATGTGAAATAAATGTGCAAATTGAAATCTACAGCATAACCCGCAAGTAAAATACTCTATTAACATAAATGTATGTTACACTGAATCCTTTTTCATATGTTTTATACATACGTATGAAGCAGTATATCGGCAATTTAACATTTTAAGAATAGATGAATGAAAAGAAACAACTGTTAAAATGCAAGTGCCTTGTTACGATTATTGACTAATCTAACATGCGAAAAAACTAAAAATGTAGTGAACTCTGAAAAAAGTATCCCTTCCGATACTATAAGCAAGTATTGTAATCTCATTGTAATATTAAGGTAGGTGAGTTTAACATGTACGACCGGGATTTAATTCTTTTATATATATTCGCCGGTAGTATTGTACAACTCTGTAAAGTTGCATCAATATCAATCCAGCACGTTAAGAGGAGTTGCATTTATCATGCGAATGTAAATACAAACAGACGGACAGACAGACGGACGGAATAATGGAAAGGGTGTTTCTCATATACACTAACCAAATTTTCGGGGGTTTGTGTGGGTATAAATAAACAAATGATTTGTTTGAACGAAAGGCAGTTGTATAAAACGAAAAAATAAAATGAACATACAAATCAATTTAGTATAAAATACTTACACTAACTCTCCCCATTGGTCAAGTTTCAATTCTTCTATTAATTCATATTTTTCGTGTGAAGTGATTGACAAGAGATGGGCATCGTTCATAGCACAGATGGTTGCAGCATCATTCCATGTAACTTCGTCTAAATACAGGGTGTATTCGATCAAATCACTGTACAAGCCTTAAGCGAAATAAAATCAAATCAATACATTTGTGTTGCATATGATTTTGTTTATCGTTCAAGTTAAAACATTTTTTCTTATTGACCCGATCTTGAATAAAATACATCAGTAGTATACAGATGTTCAAATTGGAAGTATCAGTAGTCTATCGATGTTCAAATCTTATAATCAATTTTTCATATACAATTCAGATAAAAAAAAATCATACGAACTCCATCCGAATTCAGACTAAGTTAAAATGTCTAGATATAGGAGGGGGAACTCGATTGGTAAATATACATATCAGACGACAATTCTTGTTTCGTAAGATCAAAAACTGGGAACACATTCTCTCTTGATAATGATCATCTTATCAGCCAACTAATTTGTGATGGTGTCCGTAAAACCTGCGTAGTGTCGTTTTCAGTCTTTCATTCCAAAAAAATCTTACTTTCTTTAATTGATGATGAAAAAATTGATTTATTATTCTTCGATGATTTTTTTTATTGCCAATGGTTCCTAAGGTAATGGTGAAAGCAAAACGTTGCACACGCTGGATTCTCAATAACTGGTATAATCAAACTTTTAATATTCTCTATTTACATAAAAAGTCATAGCCTTTTAAATAATTCATCAAGACCCGTTTTTAAAGGCAGTGCTTTAATGCCTTTCTAGTTGCTGTGTTAATATTTCTTTCCGCGATATCCAACTTATCTACGTGGGGGGTCATTTAGCTCCAAGTAGATCCGGAAAATGTTGATTCTCTCCTCTTCTTATTGTGGTATAAAATGTTTTTTGTCTCATTTCATTTACATTGGGAAATAGAGAAACGATCATTGTGTTTTGTTAGTTTTAAAAACTTTTGATATATTTGTATTTTACATTATAAGCAGTCAACCGATTGACAAACTAGAATTATTTGAATTCCATGTGGAAAGAGGTCGGGTTAATTTCGAGTGTTATCTGCAATCTAGATGTTTATAAATCATTTCAGTCGTTGATATAATAATTAAAGGTCGACTGAACATGAATTATATTATACAATTTAAAGCGCATTTCTGTTTATGCACGCGAACCCGTCTAACGTTATTGTTATTTCGCAGTTATATAAAGTATCAAATTATCGTTCCTGAATAGGTGGCGCCGTGGTAGCCGATCCTGTACTTCAACTTCCGGTTTCTGCACTGTGCAACTATTACAGTTGCATTTTTAATTAACGATGCCAAGTACTTGTTGTTGTGTACCTGGATGTCATTTAAGAGGAGGACATGCATTTCCAAATGACTTAAAAAGAAGGAAAAGTTGGATCAACGCCATGACCCATACGCAGATTGGACGAGAACACGATGAAATCGTGGAGTCCATCTCAATCAGCTGTTGTTTGCAAGGCACATTTTTCTGAAAAAGACTACGTGTAGGAAACTATGCATGGTAAAATTTATTTTCTTTTTAAAATATATAGTTATATATGTAATCGCCATGCGAATAAACCAAAGTCAGTTTACAACCGCAATTATCGTTTTAGAATAAAAGGGGGTGGTTAATTCAAGACGTCATAATTTTTTGGATTACGATTCAATGAGATCTGCTTGCTACAATTATAATGATTTCTTACAAGAGGTATATCATACTGAGAATTATTTTAGCAGTAATTATGCTTATGTAGTAATGACAGGAATGCATAAGCTATGCCTCATAGACTTTCTTGAAAAATATCAATGACAATGTTAACAGGAACAACCCTGCAGGCACACTTTGTTGAATCAACGTTGAATCTTTGTTGATTTTAGGTTATACATTGATCAACAAATATTCAACATTGATTCAACGTTGACAATTCAACGTTGAAATTAGAACATTGTTTCAACATTGAATTAACATTGTGTTGAAACACCAATATTGAATCAACCTAGGCTAAACAATATATGATCATATATAAAACCCAGTAGTTGTGGATACCAGAATTGTCAAAAGAGAAGTATTGGGCACATCACAATTCTTTTTAAATTGACAACGATATTCACATAGAATAGAATATTCAGTAGATTGATCACTAATTGTCATGGTGATTATAGAATTATATATAAAACAATCGCAGTGTATATCAGCATTAATTTACTTCATGAACTTTGCACCCAAATAATAGAAATTCCCAAATTTCACCCCACCCCAAAACATAATAAATTAATAGAACCAGCTTGCATACAGAATCATACACGTAAATATAAATATTTGTGAATAACCCCTTCCCCTAAAAATATGCCCCCTTTTTCCGTGGCTGCTGATGTCAAATATCTTGTTTTCATTCCTTTTTTTTTCCTATTCTTTTTAACAATCTAAAGAGAAAGACGTATATATCAGTTTATAAACAATGGTTGATAACTTGTAATATAAACAACCGATAGATCTATTGGAATAGTGATTTTTAAATTTCGCGGCATTTTTAACATTTCTATTTTAAGACAAATTCAGATATGCGCATGCGCAGTTGTTTTTGTTGCCAAAGTTTGAATATCCGCTTTCGAGACCACAAGGTGATTCTACAGTGTTTTTATCAATATATCTCCTGTATACAGCTTTTGTATTTTATCGTAAGTATATATAAATTGTTGTGATTACAGTAAATACAGTATCGTATTTTAGAAATGTGAGCATATCAAGTTGTTATAAAAACTGTACTGAAAAGTTGAAATTTTACACGAGGAAAAGGGGGATGTTTAGCATGTTACCATTTCCGATTTACCTTGCAACGTCTCATGATTTTTTTATCGTTGACTATTTGAATTCATCATATGATTGAATCAAAAGTAAAAAGAAATGTTATCTTTATATACCTGTTCAATTCAGTTACACGAAATCTCACAAAAAGGGGGGCTTGAGTTGTTTACAAAATTGGGATGGAAAGGTCAGAAGCTATATGGCTCACCAAGTTGGACCTTTAATATTTTACCGTCAAAATTGAAGTAGTGTTTTGACAAGGTAATCAAAGATGAAGGGTATATCATATGAGGGTGGTAAAGAAATATTTGCATGCAACGTATTTGGCCTTTTTATTTCTCGTTTTCTTGTCATTGGTTTCGACATGCGTTATTTGTGTTTCCCCTTATTCATTTTCCGTGTTTCGTGTTGGTACTCTTAATTTCTCGTGCTTGTCCCACATTTGATAAAAAAAAGTAAACCGGGACTAAATTCCAATTCAGTCTGGATTTTTAAATTATGTGTTCCCAGGATATCATGGATATTAATTGCTATCAAGTTATGAATAAATTTTTTTTCAAATCGGATGCAACTAGCAGACGGGAAAAGGTGAACGCAGGGTCTTCCTGTCCGTTATCATGACTGTGTGATCTCCAAGAACGACTGAGTAATAACTGCTAGTACTTTTTCCTTAACATTTACGATTTTATTTCTCGTGCTTCGTTTATCCCAATTTCTATTTTCCGTGCGACGTTTTGGGGATACTTATTTCACGTGTTTTCGTGTTAAGAATCCCCCTTTACAACCCTTGTATATGTCAATCGGACAGATATCCATGCAGCAGCACAAGTAATACAGAAAAAGACATATGTGGATAAACCTTCAATTTGTTCAAGTTAAAATGTAGTATTTAGGATTTTCTTGCAGATTATACCTTCTGGTCTATATAAAAGGAAATGTAGTTGAGATTTAGATGGAAGTTAAACTTTCATTTAGTTTTCATGAGTTCTTATGCTTTTGATTTATACTTTAAATATCATCATAATGAAGTTATTAATAGTTAAATGTGTTGAACAATATTAAACTTGACAATGTTATAACTTTTGATTTTGTAGATGTCATCATGAAGACCTATGGAATCAAGGAACAACAAGTGTCTGACCAAACAACAACCTTTCTTAAATGGGCTCCAAAAAGACAGGGTGGGAGAAGAAAGAAGTTGAAGTTTTCACTATTAATAAATAAATTTATTTTAATTTTATCGTATTGAATATTTCTCTATAATCAGTGGTTGGACATTAGAATACATGGAGTAGGAACAGCAAAATTTATTTTATATTTTGATCACTCAGATATTTAGAATAGACATTTGGCAAAAATATGTGTATTAAGGGTTGTGTGCTTTCAAAAATTAGATCAATATTTCTCTATGATAATTAGTGTTTTTATATGCATATCATTAAATGTTAAAAAAATCTTGGGGGTTAGATTATGGTTCGTAGGAAAGCCCTAAACACACATATTTGTTATTCAGTTGATTGGTTGTTGACATCATCATGGTCAAGCCATGCTCTTATCACAAGAATGTGGTCTCTCAGTTTTATTGTTGAACATTCTTCTATGAGTAATTGACAGTCAATGGTATATATTCAAAGTTTTTATTGTTGCCTATTGTTAACAAGACAATCATCAACCAAAGAACATTATTTAGATATCTTTGGGTCACTATACAGTCTTCAACAATGAGCAAAAGATCACATCATGTCAAATATGACCAGGCATTGATATTATTTAAAGTTTATCAATTTTTTTCTGAGATTAATTTTTATATTTTGGTCTGATGGAGTAGTTATTGGATAAAGTTTCCTGCGGCAGAATGTTGCTATGACATTTAGCATGTAGAGGGCCTTGAGAAGACACTAGCTTGAATATTGCTACAGTATAAAATTATGGAATGCAACACACAGAAAATACAAGATGAATGAAACTGAAGTTTTAGGTGGAAACACAGTTGAACACAACCACTAACCAATTTTGATTCCATGTTGAATATGGTATTCACCCTGAATTCAAGGTGAGTTATTGGTTTAAACAATGTTGAAGCAACCATTATTCAATATTGATTCAAAGTTGAATATCAACGTTGATTCAACGTAGGATTTCAACGTTGATACAAATTTGCAAAATCTAATAATAATTCAACATTGATTCAACATAGAAAATAAACATTGATTCAATGTTAAATCAACGTTGTGTGCCTGCTGGGAAAACAATGACATGCTCTCATCTATATTATAGTTATTTAGGTACAAACAATGTATGT